TTGAGGAAAATTCCATAGAATTTCTATATATATATATATATATATATATATATAGTTTATATAGTCGACCTTCAAGGGACCGAAATTTAGGGTTACTATATCCAGGAGTTCACTATATCCGTTACACAGGCAATTTAACTAATGGTTCCTAAACTCCCCCCTTTTATTTCACATGATTCAAGTAAATGACTGAAAAATATTATGTAGTAGCAAAAAATGTGTTATTTTTCATTACTGTTCATTGTGCGTACAAAAAAAATTTAGTAATCTTTAGCTGTTGAGCAATCCTCAACATCAGATATGGAAACACTTTCTAACTCTCAGGTAATTTTTCCTAAATTTTTGATATTCTACTTTTTAAAAGTGTCTAATCAGCCATTCAAGCACATAAAAGTAGTCTCATAAAATCGCATAGCAAATTCATTGACCTTTGTCCAGTTACTGGAAATTTGCGGCTTCTTCAATTGGTGAACTACTTCAGTAATCCTTCTTCGACATCCTTTGTGATCTGCTTTTCTCAACTTTTTTCTGCCATCCAAATTTTTTTCATGAGCAGAAATTATTAATTGCCTATTTTTCCATACGTTACAAACTGCAGAATTGGATAGTTTATATTCCCTGCAAATATCAGCTTGATTACATCCATTTTTAATTTTTCTGATTATGCCCTTTTTGTCATCAATGGAGAGCGTTTTACTGCTCGCTATAGTTAAATTTGAGAGTTGTAACTATCATATTTACTATTCCATATTAAACTTGCTTGCAGGATTTTTTTAACTGAACTGAGATCAAAAAGGAGTTGAAATGAGTGCCTTATCAACACATATTAGTGTCCAACCCTTTGACCAATAATGAATAATTACTCATTCCCTCTGACAGAAAATGCATATTGATCCCACTGACACCTTACAGGTGCATCATCTGCCTGGGTTGGAAACATCTGCTTGATTTGTTTAGGGATGGGAAAGTGAGATAAAAGAAGCAAACAAGAAAAAATGCTTATCGCTGCATTCCCCTCTATAGATGGTTTTAAGAATCGGTATATTTATTTATTTTGAAGTAGAAATTTCAAAATTATTAGGAAAAAAAATCAGTCGAAGACAGAAAGAAGTTCATTATATCCAACTTCCTCACTTTTTTATCTCACTATATCCACAAAAAATAAAATTATATGTGTATAGCAAGGCACAAGACTGAACATTTCGTTCACTATATTCGGGAGTTCTCTTTAAACCGTGTTCACTACAGCGGGATTTGACTGTATATATATATTTGTAATAAACAAAAACAAAAGCTTTATTGTTTTTCAAATTCTATATTTGTCCAGATCCATTCTTTTTAATTCTAAATAATTTCTTTTTGCATCATTTTAACTTAGTTTGTGTTTCTAGCATATGTCTCGAGAACATAAGGGAAAGCTTGCTCTGGATGCTCTTCTCATAATGCCAGTTCAACGGATTCCCCGCTATGAATTACTTTTAAAGGTATTTAACTAATAAATGTATTTTACTAATAAAAGTATTCTAAAATAGAGTTTAGAACCTTTGTAAAAAATACTGCATACAAGGTGTCTCAAAAAAGTTTTTTAAAAAAAGGAAATATTTTCTTACTCTTATCAACCATTACCGAAGTTAAGAGTAAATTTGAACAGATCATCAAAAACCATTTTGTTTTTGAAACTTAAATGCATATGTTTTTGGTAAGAGCAAGCTTTATCCTCATATAAACTGATGCCAGATTATTTTCATTATTGACCTCAATATAATTGTTCTGAGTTTATAAACATCTATGATTTTCAATCTACAGCCTCCAAAAAAAAAATTTTATAAGAAATTAAAATTATATATAGAGGCTGTCATTATGTAAAACTTTGCATAATTAAAATTTTGAGTGTTTTTAACTTTTAGTTATTGATTGAATAAAATAGATAACGTTTTTAATGTACTTAGTTATTGCTATTACTAGAATTGTTTCAGATAAGCCATTTGGCATCGTGTTTTGAGATTCTTGCAAACAATGTATTTGATTATTTATTACTTGTGTTTACAATGCTAACAATACTTGTGTTTACGATACTAAAAGTTTTAACACTAACGTAATATGGTGCACAGCTTGCAACACGAACAAACAGTAATAAGCAAATGGAAAGAGGCCAAATCAAGAAGGCCAAAAAAGCGAGTTGTTCAAAATCTAGCAACCATGTCACCTTTTTTAATAATAAATAACAAAATAACTAAAACAAATTTTCACTCCAAACTCCCCAGAATTACATAATAACATTAATATCTTATGAAATACGGCAGATTTGAGCTCAGAAATTATCTAATTTATTTCTTTTATTGAAAACAAAATTATCCGTTTGAAAACATCGCCTATCAGAATAACATGTAGTAAGCAGCTGCAAACTTTTTAACCGGAACTAGAGTAGGTGCCGAGCTCGAGATAGTTATTGTTTACATTTCTATTGTAAACACCATCCACTGAAACTGAATTAACATTAACTGCTGAAAGTTTTCTGTGTTGATATGGTAGTATTATTAAGCTACGTTATGTTTAAATTTTTATTCCATCCAAATGTACATCAGAGTTACGCAAAGTGTTGATTAACTTTTTTAGATCTTCAAATATAACTTTAGTTCATTTGCAAAAAATTAATATCTTGGTAAGAAAACACTGTTTTATCAAAAAAGTAACTTTTTATTTGGCATATGATTACATAGACAGCATGATAAATGTTTTAAGTCTAACTCTCATTGGTTTTAAAAGTTAATTGTTTCTCAAAATCTATTTTATTTAAGGCTAATCTCGGAATTTTGCGCATAAAAGATACTTTAAATTATGATAAATTTTAAAAGCAAGAAAAAAAAGCTGACATACCAATACTTTTGATATTTTGCCAGAAAAAGGTACTTTAGCAATCGTTCCATGTTTTCTCTGGGGAAATTTTAATTTGTTTTCAGGAAATTTTGTCTTTTATTTGTTTTAGAAAATTTTGACCTATAAATTTTGGTAAATTTACAGACTCATAGGTCATAACTGATAAATCTGTTTAGTTAATCTAACTCTAGTGCCAGAAAGAGGCTTAATAGCACTTACACATAAACACGTGTAGAAGGCGAAGCAGTTAGGCCGAAGCCTACACTAATGTATTTTACAAAAAATTTATAAGTTCCAACGTTTTATGATTTTGAAATACATTTAAAAGAAATCAAAAATAAATTTACTAATTTTTTCTTTGGTTTTTCATTATTCAAATCTCTCACTTTTGAATCATTTATTTATAATTGTTTTATATTTAAAAGAAGTTAGTTTTATTTTCATGCGATCACAAGAGATAAACAGGCTCTATTGTTCCTGAAATAAACAAATTATGAATGGTTGATTTAATCCTCTGCTACAGGCAGCTATTCCAGTACAGTCCAATGTCCACCTAGCTTCGTGGATTTGTAAAAGCCACTATGAATGAATATTGGTCAATGGCAGGGACGTTGGTAAGGGGGTTGTTCAGGGTGTTCAAACACCCCCCATTGTACAGAGCAATGTTTCTTTTTTTTAATACTATAAATAATTTTTCCTTAATTTTACAAAATTTTTAAATATTTTATTTACTGGGAAAAAAATGGAGAATTCCCATGACATTTTATTTCGAGGCTTTTATTAGTCAGTAACAGAAATAAAATAATCACTGCTGCCTCTTTGCTACCCATTCATCAAGAGAGCAACAAACGCTTATCTTCAGTGATTAAATTAGATAGCATCCCTTTCCTCTTGATTTACCACCCACAAAACTTCTCCCCTCAGAAAAGTAGCCAGCCCAGCTCATATTACTCTAAGGGAAAATGTTCTTCCAATGGGTTCTATCTTATCTCATCTACTTTTTAAAATATCGGCTATACACAGATCCTATTTACGGTCATAAAATGCATGCCTCAAACAAAGAATTCTCTTGGATTTCTAGGACTGCATATATATGTTAACCTTTTCAAGACATAAAAACTTCCTTGGCAATTTTTTCGGTCATTCTGTCTGGGAACTTTGTCTTAGACACTCATCCTAAAAGCTCTAAGTTTTAGATTTTTCCTTTTGTTTAATGTAGCATTTTATTTAAAATTTCGTTTTATATTTTCTTTCTGATTAATTTTTATTTGTTAATTTCGTCCGTTAATTTTTAATTTGTATTGTGTAATTCTGTTTCTGTAAATAAAATGTGATCTTTCATTGGCTATATAAAGAACTTGAATCAAAAATATTGGAGGTAAGCAAATATTTGTATTAAATCAATCTTTCCGCATATATGTAACATTTATAATGTTTTTATATTTCCGCATATATGTAACATTTAAACTGTACAACAAATAGATTTATTTAGTAAATTTGATTATTCATGCATAATTTTATTTTTAATTCCCAATTTTTGTTCTTATTTTATGATTATGAAATCGGACTTAAAAATTTTTGAAATTTTAAACTGAAAATTAAAACAAATTTATTATAATTCAGTCAGAATTGAAATATCTATGTTATATTTAATTTTATGATAAAACAAAAAAAATTCAGAAATGAATAGCTTAGAGTAATTAATCATTTAAACTATCTTAGTATAAATGTGTAAGTGTAACTTAAAGTTTAACTATTTTTTAGAAAATTAAAAAAACTTTCTATTACTAACTTTCCCTTCTTGGGATCTTATTGCAAGGGAAGTTACTTATAGTATTGAAAAATTTTAAACGATAATACTTCATTGCAGAATCAAAAGTAGCGATATATATAACAGCTTTATAAAATTAAAACAAATGTCAACAAACCTTTAAATTATCATAAAAATTACTGAAATTGTTAATTAAAAAAACAATTCAGTACTTTCTAAGAATAATTTTAATCAGCTCAAATAGATTTTTTTTTTGTCTACTTAATTTCAAATATATTTATGGCAGAGTCGAGACCCCTTTTTCTTTAGCTATTATATGCATAGACCTTGCGAAGATATATATATATATATTATCTTTCATGAGTATGTTATTGCTTAGTAATTCTTTATAATGAATGCTGATTTTCTTTAGTTTTAAATGAATAATTTTATGTTTAACTTAGGAAAATTTTATTGAAATTCCGATCACTTAAAAACGAATCACAAAACAGATATGAAAAATTTATCATTGCAACTGCATTCAATTTTTCATAAATGATCTCAAAATTTTTATTTGTTAACCATAATTTTGTGCAAATAGTGTAAGCAAATAAAATTAACAATAATTACGCTGCACTAAACTAAGTCTGACACTGAATGAAAAAAGAAATCAAGTTAAATAAAAGAGTAAACTACCTTAAAAATAATACTTTAATTCTAAGAGTTTGAAGATATTTTATGCTTTGACTTGAAGTATCCAATGCCTTAATTATGATTTATCGTCAACGTCGTTTAAAAAATTACGTTATCATTTACGTTTCGTTAAAATGAGTATGATTAACGCAACGTTATCGTTTAAAAAATATCATCAAGTCATTATTGTCGTACTTGATACAAAAATTTAAGATGAGAATGGTAAGAATATTAATTATATTCCATTCTATGGTGAAGCTTAGACAGGAGTTGAAATATATATATATTTCAACCCTGCTTAACTATAACATATATATTATGTGTGTGTGCACGTATAAAACATTTAAACACATAATGAATTATACTGATTAAGTAACAAACTTAAAAGAATTAATTGTTTCTCTGACATTTAAATTTAATTTAGTTTGATGAGTAATTCTTTAAATGTTGAAATGCCCGCGGCCACTCCATCAAAATCCAAATTTGATAGTCCGCAACCTTACGAAACACGGATTTTTTCATTCAATTTATTTACGAAATATTTTGAGGCTTTGTATCTAATTTTTTTTCCTGTGCTGTATATCTTTTGTATTTATTACTAATTTTTTGTTACATTATTAAAGTTTTGCACCTTCTATTTAATAACGTATTTTAACAGGATATTATTGAAATAAACAAAAAGAAAAATTTGTAAAAAGATACATTCATTTACCGACTTCTGCGAATGTACTATATATCTACGAGTAATTTTCGTTAAATGCGACACTTTAATGTAACTGCCATTGAAATCTGATATCATAGAAGAAAATGAAAATTTTTTGTAAAGTTTATTTAACACCATTATTATTAGATTTTTGGAATGATTTTACACATTGTCATTTTCCTGCGTTCTCTAAATTATTAATATAAACTATATTATTCAATCTAAGCTGTTTAATAAAGTCTTGTGATTAATAGCACAAAGACTAACTAAAAAGAAATGGAACATGGAAGTAAAAGCTATAAAATTACAAATTGTAATTTTTCTGGCACTTGAATGCCAAGGAATAATTGCAAACTGCTAAATGCTTGTTAACTATTGTACATTGCTCTCTATAAGGTATTAATTAGAGTCACCTTAATAAACTAGTATTTTTTTTAAAAAAAATATAGAATTCCAATCCA